TCAGCTTGTTCAGCTTGTAACACTCCAAAGAGAAAGGAAAACTTGAAATCGCATCATATGACCCCTTTAATAAACAGCCATTTTTTATTTTTTACCTCATGACAAGTCATGACATTAAAAAAAAATCTAGATCCGCGATTTTAACGATGGTAGGCTCTGCTTGTTAATTATATTAATGCGAGTTATAATACAGTGTACTGCTATAGTATTTTTATATTGAGAGTTACAAAGAGCGTGAACTGAAATTCTCAGTTCCACTTGGTTCCACGCGCATGTCCGGGAAACTCATGAATATTCATGTTGGCTCCGCCCACTGAAACCGAAAATCTCGGAAACCGAAAATCTCGTAACACCGGTAATGCGGCACTGTTATCAGTGAACTATTTCTTAAAAGAAATTTATCGAGGTATTAGGCTTAAAATTATTACGTATCCCAGTTATGTGAATCTATGCGCTGGTTGAAATAAATAACGATAAAAAAGATTTAAAATAGCGTTGAGAAGGTTACTTGAGGGAGGGCTCGAATTAGACAACTTGACTCCGCCTTCTCTACGTTTTAGGGACGCATGTGATTGGTGGAAGAAATGATTGACGTTCGATGGGCGAGGCTTCTTCACTGACGTACGTGCTGGGTGGAGTTTATCTGCGCAAGCTGATGTAACAAAGTAACTAATATTAAATAAATTAATAAACAGCCATTTTTTATTTTTTACCTCATGACAAGTCATGACATAGAGAACTCTGGACAACTTTCATGTGTGACAAAGAACGCTGAGTTCTACTTTTCAACGTTTCAAGACTTCTTTTGGAAATATGCTGGGAAATGTGATTAAGTGGTTTTTCTGTCTGAATAAGCCTTTTAATACAAAGAAACTTTTACAGAATAGTATACGTGTGTGAAATTGAAAAGGGTAGAAAGATCAGATGAAACGATAACGGAGGCATTGTTAAAACTTTTAATACAAAGAAACTTTCACAGAAGTACTTGTATATTTTTTTTGCCTCTATTCAAAAAGTAATATGAAGAATCACAACATATTATAAAATATTTCTTTCTCTTTAAATTTGAACTACCGAAAAAAAAAATCTAGATCCGCGATTTTAACGATGGTAGGCTCTGCTTGTTAATTATATTAATGCGAGTTATAATACAGTGTACTGCTATAGTATTTTTATATTGAGAGTATCCTTGCAGGAAAATAAATTCACTGCCATCCAATTGGGTGTATGGCCATTAAACTTGAAGGCACTGATACTTCGATACTACTTCAGGTCAGAGGTCACCTCACAGTTTTTCCATATTTTAAGACTAATTAATTCCATAGCTGGTGAACTAATAAATAAATGAAGCAGATAAAGTTCATGTACTCAAAGAAACAAGGCAAGTGATATTTCAAATTAAAATGTAATAGTATATGTGTGTGTGAAATTGAAAACGTTAGAAAGGTCAGATGAACTTTGTAACCTGTAAAATGAGGATAACGGAGACATTGATTTTTCCAGTGGCCCGTCTTTCAGCAGAACTGGTTGCATAACGACGTGCCTCAGCAGGACAGAACACAGTCTGGAACTCTGTGTTGCATAACAGAGGTCAGTCGGGCACATGCATGTTTAAGAAAAAGTTTATGGGAAAACAGAGTGATAGAGTGAGAAAGTTCAGAACAGCATGACATGAATTCGTGCAATGCAAAGATAAACCATTTCTTCAGTCATAAATTACTTTTGCTGTGTCCTTGATTTCTTTATGATGGATGTTTGCTGCCCCCGGTAGCTCTTCCTGTTCCTGCGTGAGCCATTGAAAGGTAAAATACAATTGGTCTTTTGAAAAGAGGGCTATTGCTTCCAAAATGGTGAATGGTGGGAATTAGCACAACTGAATGGATGAGACCGCAGGATTATAAATATTTAATGAGTCAGTCTCTTTCTCTCTTTTACCATGTTTTCACCCTCCCACTATTTGTCCTGTGAATCAGATAATAGACAGATAATGAATAAAGTGTGTGCCTAGAACCGGTTTTAAATGGTGAATTAGTACAGTGCCAATTCCACCCCCAAACGCATACAAAAGAAAATATTTATAATGAAGCTTTTCAGAATGCAATTAGTACAAATGATGTTTTTCTTGGTTATTTTCATGCTTGTACTTTCAAGAAAGGAGAAGTAGTGAGAACTCTGGACAACTTTCATGTGTGACAAAGAACGCTGAGTTCTACTTTTCAACGTTTCAAGACTTCTTTTGGAAATATGCTGGGAAATGTGATTAAGTGGTTTTTCTGTCTGAATAAGCCTTTTAATACAAAGAAACTTTTACAGAATAGTATACGTGTATAATCAGGGTCGTCTTATATTCGGGCCAATACGGTATTATATGTTTTGTTTTTAAACATTTAATTGGATTTTTATCCATTTATGTAATAACTCTTTTTCACACATTAACATTTTATTATTTTTTATAGTTTTCTATTTTAACCAGTGCAAGATCTGTCTCTTATTTAAATAATTATGGGCAATTTAATTGCAAGTAGTTAAATCTGGTGGGTGTTCATATTTTTCAAGAAATAGAAATACTTTGTGTTATATACACTACACCTTTCAAAAGATTGGGGTCAGTAAGATTTTATTTTAAAGAAATGAATACTTTTATTCAGCAAGGATGCATTCAGTTGATTAAAAGTGACACTAAAGACTGCAGTAATGATGCTGAATTCAGCTTTTCATCACAGGGATAAATTACATTTGAAAATATATTAAAATATGCAACAGTTATTTTAAATTGTAATAATATTTCACAATATTATACTGTATTTTCCCATCAAATATTTGCAGTCTTGGTGAACATAAACTTCTCTCTATATTTACACGTTTCTAAGAGGTGGTTGTGGTTCTAGTATAATGAAAAAGTTGAAATCATATATAAAAGATTTCAGATTTTGGAAGGAACAGCTTCACCTAGTGGAGCGATGGGTATATGGCACTCAATTCATATGCTGCAGTGTAGCCTATCCATTTATGCATACGTTTGCAACATTCATTCATCTTTTTCCTAGAGATGGTGAGTGTGAAGATGAAGGATCATGGTTTGTAGCCTTTAAACCAAAGTACCTCTAATGTATTCAGAGTTCAGTGGAGTTTCATAGCAGTTTGAGCAGATACTGTGAAGATTAATTCAAGGCATCAGCATTCACTTGAGCCGTCCCTGTAAGAAGAACTGAAAACCACCTGAATTTTTCAGAAAAAAAAGTGTTTGATCTGCCACACCTCGGCCCTAAAAGTCC